GTGGGGTGGGGTTAAAAAAAGTTTATATTAACCAGGGAAAGGGAGCAAGAGCAAAACCCAAACAAATTAGCATTTTGATGCATTAGTCTTTAACTCGTATCTATTACTTGCAAATTAGCTTTTTCTGCCCTGCGGTTCTGGGTCACTCACTCTTGCTACTTTGTTGTACTAAATTGTAAATCTTTTGGTATTCCAGGAGAAGATTGTAGATGAATTGGGTATGGAAATGGACAGTACGTCAAATCGTCTTGATTTTGTTCAGGTCAGTCTCTGCTTACTTAATAGATTGTCCTACCAAGAAATTCTGTCCACCGGAAACAAGTTTATCTTTTATTTTCTTCAGCTTGCTAATTGACTGAAATATATAGATTAGTGATCCCCGAAGAGATGAAAAGTTCCTTTTTAATTCTTGCAGAAAAAAGTGGCTACAGTTATGAAGAAGGCTGGTGTAAAAGGCCAGTGTATGATGATAGTATTTTTGCTGGTCCTGTTCATCATCCTTTTTGTTTTGGTCTTCCTCACCTAGTCTGAAGAATGCAACAGGTCTTCCGCTATACATGGGAGGGATCTGCTTTTCGAAAGAACTATGGAACACTCGAGTACAGATATATTTACTGGTTTATCTAGGTTTGTTCATAAAGCTTTCCTGGAAATTACAAACCAAAAGAGTACGTAAGGTTATTTAGAAATTTTGAGGTTGAACAGAATTTGATGTTGAACAACCGGGAGTTACAGAGACAATGTGAAACAGAAGCTTTATAATTGTTTATTTGTTTATTCCTTGCACGTCATGTTTGATATCATGACTTATTTTATGTCAAAACGCTTATGCTTGTGTTTGGTTGCATATAGATACAGTTCCGCTCACTTGAGGGAAAGAACAATATTCAGGCATAGCACTACAAACTAATCTCAACAATTTTCAGATTGAATAATAATCATATGATCACAAAACTTGTACAGGAGAAGCAGGATTAAGGATTTCCATAGATTGCTTGCTCTGACCAGTTCAATCTTTTCTTCAATACATTAGGGCCGTTCGGTAATGTTTTACGCCCGTTTACTGTTTTCTCAACATGAAAATGGCTGAGGAGGAGTTCGGTGGCCAGCGTTTTCTCAAAATGAAAATAACGTTTTCAGCATTTTCAATGGAAAAGCGGAAAATGATTTTGCGTCTCTCACTACGATGGCTCTTCTATTTACCTCCTGCATCCCATTTATCTCAAGCTCTCATCAATTTCCCATACTGGGTCTTCTATTAAATTTTTTTTTTTTACTTTTTTCAGTGAAATTACTGGATCTTCTCATCAGTTAGATATGTATGGGTCGTTCAAATTTTCTTTTTTCTGGTGAAATTAGTGTTTTCCTTGCTGGGTGAAATTGGGGGGTCTTCTGTTAGATTGGCTCATCAAAATCTTGTTCGGGTGCTAACTCTGCGATGGTGATGCGTGCGATGGGTGGGGTGGGATTTGCGGAGAGTTAAAAGAGATGGGGTATTTGATTAAATAAAATAAAATAAATAGAGAAGGTTAGGGAGTTAAGTTCCAATTTTGTTTTTTCTAAGTTCATTTTAATTTTTTTTAAAGATTATTTTTGTTTATACATTATTCTATTTTTAAAGATTATTCTTTTTATCTTTTCCAAAAAAATTACATCTTTTTGGAGGAGGCATTAATAAAAATAACTCACGTATATTTATTTTTCTTGGTATTAAACTCACATATTGATTACATAATTAACTATTTTTGTTTTTGTTATTTTCAAATTGTAACATCAGACACATTTACATTGTTACATTGTTTTCACTTTCTGAAACTGTTTTTAAATTAAGCTATTGGACCACATTCTCCAATCTTGAAAATGCAAATTCGTTTTCTTGTTTTCATTTTCTGAAAACATTCTCCCAAAACTTTATCAGACAATTTGGCAGCAAAATTGTCATTTCTCCATCAAACCCAATATATGTTACAGATTATTTTCTGTACAATCAAAAGAGAAAATAAGGTGAAGAAAACGTGATACACTTCTTGCGGTAATGCAAACAAACAAAATATGCTAGTTCCAACTTTGTAGAGATCTGCTCGCTCGTGAGGCTAAAGCTACTGCCTTAGCCGTTGTATCCGTCATCACCCACTCCCTCTCAGCACGCCGCTGATGTTGCCTTGCATTTTTAGCTCGCTTTGGAGCTAACCGATTATCCCTTTCCTCAAAAGCAAGTCTAAACTTTTCAGCCACTGACAATTCCGTGTGGCTTGAAAGAGATGGAGGCATTGCCTTGAGTGTAAAACCACGCACTGCCCACGTTTTGGGATCAAGATCCTTGACAATAGAATCATCCAACTGGATATCTGGCAATGCTTCCCTGGGAACTTGGGTTCCCCTGAATCCGAAGGGTGATGGGTTCGGATTTACTATAATGCGAGGGCATTCAGAGGAAAATCCCTCCAATGAATTTTTATCAATCTTTGGCTGCAACAAAAAAAGAGACCAAGATTACTAATGAAATTATCAATAGCCCGGTCCAGACGAAGAATTAGAAAACCATTCTCCTGCTTAGAATAATGGTTAATAAAGGAACCAGTTTTTAACAATCCCAATCAACCAATCAAAAAGTCATAAGTCGTTCGCATATTCATGCATGAAGCAATAGATTAAAAAAAAGGTGCACTTCCTATTTCTACATGCCAGAAAATGTTTTGTTATAACACTCTGTAAGACATCCCTATACTTACTAGTGCTGAAATGTTACCCTGTGTATATAAACGTTCTGTGATCCAGTATTCAGACACTGAACCATGTTGCGGTTTTTAATATTTTCCCACTTTTGGGACAAGTTCACACAGTGAACCAAAATTGTCTACGTCTATTGGTGGCATCAGGCATGGCATCACAATTTCTCTCATTACAAATTCTCATTTGGTAATGCAACGCATGTATGTTCTTTTTAATATTTTCCCACTTTTTGGACAAGTTACAGTGAACCAAAATCGTGTCCATCTATTGGTGTAAGCAGGCATGGGAACCCAATCTGTCTAATTACAAGTTCTTATTTGCTAATGCAAAGAATGTATGTGTTTAACAATAGAGAGGCAGTCAAGACATTCATGCTTCTACACTGTAAGTGAAGAGATGACACAAATTTTTCAAACCATAGTGGTCAGAAAGATCAAACCAAAGAACTTAATCATTGATGAAGAAAAGTATAATAATGGGAAATTTTAAGTACATACCCACACAAGCCAACGCAATGATTGTGCACCATTAGCAATTTCTTCAGTATTCAGTTCTTCCCAGGAGTCTCCCTCTACATCATTCAACTTCGGTTTAAATATATCCAAGCACCTGCGTGCAGTGTGGTCACTCCTTGGGCTCCCTCTGCAACATTAACTTTGGTTCATAGCCTGTTATGAAGTTTGTACTCCTAGTCAAACACAGTATTCAAGCCACTAAAATAGCATGGGATGGAACGAACAAAAAATAAAGTAAAGAATGATCAGGGTTGAGTAACTTAGTCTGCACCAATCCTCCTTGGTGGAGAGAGTTTGATATGATGGTTACCAAAAAAATAGGGGGATAGATTCTGGGAGCATCTTGTAGTTAGACTACAGAGGGTAGAAATCTGATTTAATCAAATAGCTATTAATTCATTCTACAGTCCCAAGGTAAAAACACATCACTCTTCATTTGTCTACTTTGCAGTTAGAAAACTGAGTGTGAGCTCATCACATTATAAGCAATAAAGAAAGAGGGAACTAATTCCAAGTTCATATAAGTGTTGATATATCAATAAGACATGTCACATGTCACATGCACATAAACTCAATAAAAAAATATCAAAGTCTTCCGACTTCTACGATTGTTATGGAATGTTTTGGATTATTCAAAAAGGTCAGGACCATGACAAAGAGATGCATATATAGAAACTTGTAATGAAAATTTAAAACATTTCATTATGCTATGGAGAGGGTGTTTACCCGCATCTCAACGTCTCCAATGAAAGGCAATGTTGCACAAGTTCAGAAACTCCAGAAGTAGTAATTTTGTCACACCGGCTGCGGAAGAAATGTCTCAGTGTAATTACAGAGTTTCAAAACCAAAAGACATTTTGATGCCTTAAATATTAGCTAATGCCTACTTAAACGATTAAAACAAATGCTAACTAATATTACATATGTTCCTAGGATTTTGCTCACATATTACATGCCCACGCAACTATCTTCCTCACATATCACATATAATACCTAGGATTTTGCTTACAAATATATATACATTTATAGCTCAAGGTTATGATGAACTTAAAAGTTACACAAAGCATACATAGTTCACAGATTGCATATCATAAACATAAGGTCAACATCTTAATAGTTGGTTAGTATTTAAAAAGTAGCTTATTTACTCCAATACCTAATATCAACAGCTCCAAGTGATGTACATATCTCAGCCACTTTTGCTAAGCCGAAATCCGAAACATCTGATGCAGAAAGGTCAAGAATTTTCCAGGTATGATCAGCTAAAGAGACAATAACATCATCGTCGAGTAACTTTCTTCTTCTAGCAATTGCCACCAGTGTCATCTACCATCATCAAATGAAAACTCTTGAGAGACCAAAAATTGTTAATTATTTTACATCCAAACAAAAACCCATCAACCATAAAGCAACCAAGAACATTTTTTCCCCCAAAAAAAACTCAAATTTACACAAAAATTGATGTGGGTTTTATGAATAAGGTTAGAAAACCTTAACATCTGGAGGAAAGTTGATTGCAATCTCTGACAAGTCTGGGATTATATCCTCCAAATGTTTGCCGACAACTCCAAGACACAAGCTTTGTAAGCTGGGAGGAGACTTGGTCCTTTCAAGCAGCCTTCCTGCCATGCATATAGAAGTAAGTACAAAAATAATGTGTTTGAGGGAATAAGCGGTGAAATAAAAATGCAAACTTGGGACGTACTGAAGGATTGAGTTTGAGGGATTTGGGGCTTGGGATTGGATCTGGAATTCAAATCTAAATTGTTCAAAGAATTTGCAAGAGAAGCGACGGCTTTTCGTTTTTCCATCGAAATCAAAGTCGCAGGAGACAAAATGGTCCTCCCAACTTTTCCGATTTAGAAGAAGAAATATCCTTATGTTCATTCGTATTGGGGTTTGTTAAATAGAGGGCAAATATGTAAATATTTGGTTGTTTGGGGGGGGATTTTGTAGTTTTATGCAGGGATTTGGATTTCTGTCTTTTCCAATTGTATAAGGTTGGGTTATTGCTTTCAATGGTCCCCAACTATTGCTCTAGTATCATTTTGGTCCACCAACTAAAATTTTCATTTAAATGGTACTTCAACTCTTCATTTGGTATAAAATTAGTCTTATCGTCAAAGTCTGTCAATTTTGCCGTTAAATTCAAGGGCGAAATCTTCTTTTTAGGGTAGTACCCTCAAAACCAAACGAATTCCATATTAGTCTTCGTCTTCTTCTCTTTTTAGGGCAGTACCCTCAAAAGCAAAACGAAACAATCTTAAACTGATGGGTTGTACATGCTAACTAGATTTCAACTGTCCCACTTGAGAGAAGACATGTTTAATGTCCATATGGTTCAAAAATATTCCCCCAAAAAAACAAAAAAGCTTAGAATCTCTTAGAAACCTTTAAACAAATTGAACTTGTAAGGGTTTAGAGAGCGGTTTCTGGTTGTGTTCTTCATTCCTTTTACCATCTGATTCAACAGACAGAGAGAGGGGGATGAGACAAAGAGAAAGGATGCTGGGGTGGGCTGCGATAGGTTGGGGTTGGTGGCTGTCGAATTGTCAAAGAGAGAGAAGGAAGGAGAAGTTGGAATGCCCTGAAAAGACGGTTTTGCCCTTTAATTTCACGGAATAGTTGACAGACTTTGACTATATGACGATTTTGATACCAAATTAAGAGTTGAAGGACTATTGAAATAAAAATTTTAGTTAGTGGACCAAAATAATACTGGAGCAATAGTTGGGGGAATATTGAAATCAATAACCTTATGAGGTTTTAATGAAGGATAACCCTCCTTGCCCATAAGGAATCAAAACCAACAAACAAGATTCTTTTTCATTCAACGACCAAGATTCTCTTTCGTGCAACGACCAAGATTCTCCCTGATGCGTACACATAAGTAAATAGTGCATTTCAATAAATAAAAAATGAAGTAAATAGTGCATTTCAATAAATCTATATATATAAAGCAAAAGGTAGAAAATGATGAAACATTCAAAATACTAGAAAATGTCATTGACTAATTCAAATATTAAGAATTGAAATTATTAATTAAATGAGGATATTATGGTAAATTCACATTTTTTCATATTAAAAAATTAAAATTAAGAACAAAATCAGATAATAGGTCATACTTTTATGGAACATAACTACCCATGTTATCTTTTCTTAATTCTAAAAATAAAATAAAAAATAAAAAATAAAACCAATTGGCACATGCTAATGTGCCAATGGGCTAGTGTGTATGAAATTACAAAAACACGTTTGCCATGTCATCAAATTTAATAGATTTTTTTTATGGAGTTAATGGTATGTATAAAGTAGGTCATCAAACGTCGATCAAATGATGAAAGTGGGTCATTTTAAATTTGAAGGGGCAAAGTAAGATTTGACTGAAGTTTTCAGAGGCATTGGTGTAATTAAACCTTTTATTTTTCGCACCAAAACCACCTTACCCGAAAACAAGGGGTCCCTCTCATGGTCATGCCATGCACATCCATGAAAGAAATGCATGAAAGAAATTTCGTCAAAGCTTCCCTCCCCATTTTCGCTCTCAACAAAACCAAAGAAAATAACATAAAAATAAATAATTAAAAAAGAAGAAGCCAAATCTCTCTTCATCCGCAATAAGACATGTCACATGTCACATGCACATAAACTCAATAAAAAAATATCAAAGTCTTCCGACTTCTACGATTGTTATGGAATGTTTTGGATTATTCAAAAAGGTCAGGACCATGACAAAGAGATGCATATATAGAAACTTGTAATGAAAATTTAAAACATTTCATTATGCTATGGAGAGGGTGTTTACCCGCATCTCAACGTCTCCAATGAAAGGCAATGTTGCACAAGTTCAGAAACTCCAGAAGTAGTAATTTTGTCACACCGGCTGCGGAAGAAATGTCTCAGTGTAATTACAGAGTTTCAAAACCAAAAGACATTTTGATGCCTTAAATATTAGCTAATGCCTACTTAAACGATTAAAACAAATGCTAACTAATATTACATATGTTCCTAGGATTTTGCTCACATATTACATGCCCACGCAACTATCTTCCTCACATATCACATATAATACCTAGGATTTTGCTTACAAATATATATACATTTATAGCTCAAGGTTATGATGAACTTAAAAGTTACACAAAGCATACATAGTTCACAGATTGCATATCATAAACATAAGGTCAACATCTTAATAGTTGGTTAGTATTTAAAAAGTAGCTTATTTACTCCAATACCTAATATCAACAGCTCCAAGTGATGTACATATCTCAGCCACTTTTGCTAAGCCGAAATCCGAAACATCTGATGCAGAAAGGTCAAGAATTTTCCAGGTATGATCAGCTAAAGAGACAATAACATCATCGTCGAGTAACTTTCTTCTTCTAGCAATTGCCACCAGTGTCATCTACCATCATCAAATGAAAACTCTTGAGAGACCAAAAATTGTTAATTATTTTACATCCAAACAAAAACCCATCAACCATAAAGCAACCAAGAACATTTTTTCCCCCAAAAAAAACTCAAATTTACACAAAAATTGATGTGGGTTTTATGAATAAGGTTAGAAAACCTTAACATCTGGAGGAAAGTTGATTGCAATCTCTGACAAGTCTGGGATTATATCCTCCAAATGTTTGCCGACAACTCCAAGACACAAGCTTTGTAAGCTGGGAGGAGACTTGGTCCTTTCAAGCAGCCTTCCTGCCATGCATATAGAAGTAAGTACAAAAATAATGTGTTTGAGGGAATAAGCGGTGAAATAAAAATGCAAACTTGGGACGTACTGAAGGATTGAGTTTGAGGGATTTGGGGCTTGGGATTGGATCTGGAATTCAAATCTAAATTGTTCAAAGAATTTGCAAGAGAAGCGACGGCTTTTCGTTTTTCCATCGAAATCAAAGTCGCAGGAGACAAAATGGTCCTCCCAACTTTTCCGATTTAGAAGAAGAAATATCCTTATGTTCATTCGTATTGGGGTTTGTTAAATAGAGGGCAAATATGTAAATATTTGGTTGTTTGGGGGGGGATTTTGTAGTTTTATGCAGGGATTTGGATTTCTGTCTTTTCCAATTGTATAAGGTTGGGTTATTGCTTTCAATGGTCCCCAACTATTGCTCTAGTATCATTTTGGTCCACCAACTAAAATTTTCATTTAAATGGTACTTCAACTCTTCATTTGGTATAAAATTAGTCTTATCGTCAAAGTCTGTCAATTTTGCCGTTAAATTCAAGGGCGAAATCTTCTTTTTAGGGTAGTACCCTCAAAACCAAACGAATTCCATATTAGTCTTCGTCTTCTTCTCTTTTTAGGGCAGTACCCTCAAAAGCAAAACGAAACAATCTTAAACTGATGGGTTGTACATGCTAACTAGATTTCAACTGTCCCACTTGAGAGAAGACATGTTTAATGTCCATATGGTTCAAAAATATTCCCCCAAAAAAACAAAAAAGCTTAGAATCTCTTAGAAACCTTTAAACAAATTGAACTTGTAAGGGTTTAGAGAGCGGTTTCTGGTTGTGTTCTTCATTCCTTTTACCATCTGATTCAACAGACAGAGAGAGGGGGATGAGACAAAGAGAAAGGATGCTGGGGTGGGCTGCGATAGGTTGGGGTTGGTGGCTGTCGAATTGTCAAAGAGAGAGAAGGAAGGAGAAGTTGGAATGCCCTGAAAAGACGGTTTTGCCCTTTAATTTCACGGAATAGTTGACAGACTTTGACTATATGACGATTTTGATACCAAATTAAGAGTTGAAGGACTATTGAAATAAAAATTTTAGTTAGTGGACCAAAATAATACTGGAGCAATAGTTGGGGGAATATTGAAATCAATAACCTTATGAGGTTTTAATGAAGGATAACCCTCCTTGCCCATAAGGAATCAAAACCAACAAACAAGATTCTTTTTCATTCAACGACCAAGATTCTCTTTCGTGCAACGACCAAGATTCTCCCTGATGCGTACACATAAGTAAATAGTGCATTTCAATAAATAAAAAATGAAGTAAATAGTGCATTTCAATAAATCTATATATATAAAGCAAAAGGTAGAAAATGATGAAACATTCAAAATACTAGAAAATGTCATTGACTAATTCAAATATTAAGAATTGAAATTATTAATTAAATGAGGATATTATGGTAAATTCACATTTTTTCATATTAAAAAATTAAAATTAAGAACAAAATCAGATAATAGGTCATACTTTTATGGAACATAACTACCCATGTTATCTTTTCTTAATTCTAAAAATAAAATAAAAAATAAAAAATAAAACCAATTGGCACATGCTAATGTGCCAATGGGCTAGTGTGTATGAAATTACAAAAACACGTTTGCCATGTCATCAAATTTAATAGATTTTTTTTATGGAGTTAATGGTATGTATAAAGTAGGTCATCAAACGTCGATCAAATGATGAAAGTGGGTCATTTTAAATTTGAAGGGGCAAAGTAAGATTTGACTGAAGTTTTCAGAGGCATTGGTGTAATTAAACCTTTTATTTTTCGCACCAAAACCACCTTACCCGAAAACAAGGGGTCCCTCTCATGGTCATGCCATGCACATCCATGAAAGAAATGCATGAAAGAAATTTCGTCAAAGCTTCCCTCCCCATTTTCGCTCTCAACAAAACCAAAGAAAATAACATAAAAATAAATAATTAAAAAAGAAGAAGCCAAATCTCTCTTCATCCGCCGGCTCTCCTTATCCACGAAGCTGCAATGGGACGTGCAAGTCATTTACAGGTAAGCTCTCTCACCTCCGAATTATCCTTCTAAAAAACCGGTAAAATTTGTACAGCTGTTCGCCGGAAAATACCAAATTTTTACTTTTAAAAAAAACCATGAAAACAGCCATAAACAAATTAATGAAAAAAAGGACATTAATTCTTTTGTTGTACGGCTTAAACCAAAGAAAATAACATAAAAATAAATAATAAAAAGATGCCGAATCTCTCTTCATCCTCCGGCTCTCCTTATCCACGAAGCTGCAATGGGACGTGCAAGGTTGTTGAGGCTGGTGTTTTTGGGAGGTGGGTGGGCCCCAACATAAGTGTTTGCAGGCAGTAGCAGCGCATCCGGGGCCGAGCTTAGGGAAGAAAGCGTAGGAGGAGCGCCAATTGAAAGACATATTGCCGCTGCTGTTGATGTGCTCCTGGTGTTTTCAGCCCACACGATTCCACATTTATCCAAATGACGCCAAATTTGGAAAAAAGGCCTTCCACGCGGGTGTGTTTTCAGCCCAGACGATTCCACAGTTCACACACGCTATAAAAGAAAAAAAGAAACTGTTAAGATGGATGTCTAGAAAAATGCGGGCAATGAAGGAAAATTTTTAAAACGACGATTTATCACACGCATGCGATTAAAATATGAAATTGTTGAAATGGATATCTATGTAAATACAATTGCGAAAAAAATATTTACTAAACTTTGTAAGTCGAAAAAAAAGCCTATTGCACAGGTGTGAAAACACATGCAAGGAGGCTAGTTGATCATAACAAATATTATTGCTAATATTTGTATTATTGATTCAGTATAGTTTTTGGGCGTGTTGCACCCACATTTTACATATATATATATTAACAGAAAATTAAACAAGCTTATCTCTTAAAACAAGTTTTATAAACTCACTTGCATGAAATTTAACTACCCCAACTGAATCAGCCACTTGAATGTAATAATTAACAAAATGAAAATGAGCCAATGAGCCAATGAGCCAATGAGAGGTGAGATGACCACCCACCACCGCCAAACTGACTACCTCTACCTATATAAAATTCACAAAACCTTGTAATCTCATGCAACTTTTTATCCCATTCCATATCAATCCGTGGAATTGAGGCACCCCATTTCATCAATCCATCAAGAAGCTGTCTTTTCTTTCGTTCTTGAAAACCAAACCAACCATGAATACAATGCTTTCCCTCTATGATGCTGAACATAGGAGGTGTCCAATCTGCTGGGAGGATGTAGATTTCGAGCAAATCATATCAGTGACTTCATGCTCACATTACTTCCACTGGGCATGCAACAAACAGTAAGAAAAACACCAGAGCATGAAGTTGAAGGATGTGATAAAATGTCCGATCTGTCGCCACTCCTATCCATATGGGTCCACAACTGAGTATGTTTTCACGACGCCTCCGGGACAACCCCTGAGGTTTCGTATTCCTCGGCCCTCCAACCCGGAGCCAGGGCTGGGGCTATGGAGAAGGCCCGCGGCTCGAACCATTCAAGACCCTTGGAGCATGTAACCATTGGGCCACTGTTCTCGAAAATGAGTGTTGCAACAAATATGGGAAATCTCTTTATTGTTCTCGAGTGGCAAGTGCAGTGCAGTGAGCGAGATGAAGGCAAAAGAATCTGTAATCTGCTGGAAGAATATGTAATCTGCTGGAAGAATATGTAATCTTCTGGAAGAATCGCAATCCGAGGAAGTGGCTCAATATGTTCCATTTCTTTAGATAAATTTCTTCTTTTCTTTGTTTGTGAGAACTGTTTAGCTCTAGTTACTGTTGGTATTATTAGATATGGTGTGTACTCGTTTTTGCAAAGCAAACCGACTAATATTTGATGTACTTGTAGTTATTTTCATTTGGTTTGAGTAGATTTTATGAACATGGATGTGAGTTGAATAACTATATTCTAGGTGTGTTATCCCTAGTCGTTTCAATCCGTTTGCTAACCTCGGAGATGAGATGTTGGCATATATTTCAGGTTAAGAAAACACATGCATCCTCTAACTACCCTACAATATAGTTCAATTGTCCAAACCATCATAATTTTCATATCCTTCCTCAAGAACCATTGTGGAAAGAACAAAAAAATTCAGTCAAACCCATAACTGTTTCTTCACCTAAATTACCCGTACAAATATAGTGTGTCAAATAAAAAGGAAATGATGAATGCTAAATAGATAGTTTAAAAAAATATTATTTAATGTTTGAAGGAGTACCTACAAATATATATTTCAACTCATTGAACTGCATATTGAAAATAAGATCATCATATTTATGTTATGGTAAATGATTTTCCCACTCTCCTTTTATCCATCTACACTCCTTCTTGTTTAAAAAAAATGGAGTGTAAGTGGATAAAAAGAGAGTGGGACAATCAATACCCTATGTTATATGTGGACGAATAAGTTAGACCTGTCAAAGATGTCTTTTTTTTTCCTTTACTTTTTTTGGGTTTGCTTTCACACTCCAATATAATTTTAATTATAATAATAAAAAAATCAGCAAGAAACTTAATAAAAAAAACATTTGACAAATTAAGTTCATTATTTACACATAATTAAGAAACATTATTTAAAGAAAATGTCCAAATCACGTAGTCAATAGCTTAATATGTCCATCCATTTTCAACACAACATGTTAAGAGTCAATTCAAATAATGAACTTTTAGTTTATATTGATGTCATGTTACCGGTTCATGTATAATTCACACATAAATAGACGTTTATTGTGTTTGTGAGCCCATGTCTACACTTGGATAGTGCAAGATTGCACGATGATCAATTTATTAAAGGGTTAATTTTAATTTGTTACCTAGATCAACTTTTACGCTTAAGGCATATTTGTTATTGCTACCCAGTAATATGAATTTATTACTACGATCAACGATTAAGTCCTGTCATGGATTCAGTAAACGGCCGAACAAGTATTATATTCTTATGATTAATAAATCATAATTAAGTTTAGCCAACTCAGCTAAGTTCATGTCTCTGATCCATTCATCAAATTAAGTTTATGTTGTTTTGTCACTTAATTAGCATGGGAACTATTCATAAATTGTTGAGAGGAAATATTTGAGCCAATCGACCCATCAAATGCTTTTTTAATATACTATTTAAACTTACAACACCTCTTCAACTCATAGCACCCCTTGATGCATACAAGAAGAAGAAAGATTAACGAAAAAACACTACTTCTCTCTAATTAGCATGGGCTTATTATGGTTC